TCTGACATATCTTGTTCTTGGCTGGTTCTTTGGATTCATAGAGATTGTAACACTCATATATTGAAATAAAATACTACGATTATTGCGATATTTTTCAGTCTTGATTATTATTTTCTGGACGCAAAGTTTATTGTCTATAGTATAATTTTATGCAGATTATTGGTTCATTCCATCTTTGATTATGCATATATAAAATAATATATGAATTCCTCCTAACTTGTACTTGTATAATTATATGTGTGGATTTCTATGTTGTAAATTAAATATCATATTAATTTTATACATGAATAACTTAACTATCAAACGTGATATTATTAAGAGTGTGAGTTTCCGAACTATCACGCAATGGTTAGGGAAACACAATTCGACTAATTTTTTATGGTGTGTGTACTACACTCTCTTTGGTTAAAAGTTCTACCACAGACAAAATTTTCACGGTATAAATTGATTTATTCTCCACCAAGACATCTGACATCTTCATCTCCACCTTCTTAGCCGTGGTCTCATCTCAGTCATGTCGTCAATATCTCCGACTTGAAAGGAGAGAGTTTTGAGTTTTAAAGAAATCAATTGAGAAATTTTATAAATAAAAGATTAATATGACTTGTTATATATGTCAGGTGGACGAAGACTTAATGGTCAAACACGTCTAAAAGCATTTGTAGACAAACATTTGATCTAATCAATGTTTAGATGTGTTTCATAATAATTATTTGGTGATAGTTCCTTCATTTATCTTCTGTGCAAAAGTAGGCGGAAATTAAAAAAAAAAAAAAAAAAAAAAGAACCAACCTTGTCCCCAAGGTTTTTTAAACGAAAACCAAGGGGCTCGTCGATTTTTTAAGTGGAAAACTGTGGTTGAGTAGTATAAATTTCAAATTAAAAAAACTAAAAGTATTTAATCAAAGAGTATATGTGGTCTAGTGATATAATTGTTTAATGTCGTAGTAAATACTTGGGTTCAATTCCAAGTTACTACTTTATGAATATCTCATAAAAAAATGACCACATTTATGCCGTCCATTGTCTTTTTATTTAAGGAAACCTAGGCAGTCGGTCGATTATTTTTAAAAATAAATTAATATCAATATTTTAATAATAAAATTGACGGATGTTTCTTGATTTTAACCGAGATAATCCATTGGTTTACTTAAACCAACACATCACTTACGTACTAACATAATTGAGTCCATCAATTTTAGAGAAAAACTGAAACTTTCTATCGGTTTTGATCCTCGATTTTAAATGTTTCTTTAGTAGTGATCAATCCGATGGTACATAATGCTTTGACGCATATTAAAATCGAAATTCACTTCAAGTTTTTTTCTTCAAGTGTCTTTATTAAATGCATGCATATTTATAGTTTTTTTTTGTACACAATTTGTTTAAATGGCCCACTACTTGTCATAATTTGTCAACTTAATCATCGGAATAACCACACCTCCAAAAGATAATTTAGCAATACAACTATTAAAATGCCTGTAAGTGAGATTAACAGCAAAGGAGGGGAAGTAACAAGTAAAAAGGTACAATTAACTCTTTAACCTTTTAACACAAAAAAACAAACTTTTAAAACACATTATTATAGGATGAAAAGGAAAAAAAAGAGTAAAAGGTCCTTTAGTTCCAACTAACCAGTTTTAATAATAACATAAAATAAACGACAAAATTTGCACTTTCTCCTTCTCACAAAACCATGCATATACTCAAATATAGGGAACAAACAAAGAGTACATTGTTAGGAGGTCTAGCTATAGATGTAACATTGTGGTCCAATTATTGTTAGCCATGCCAGTCTATATTTGTTTTTAACTTAATTAGTTTTTTTTGTGAGTGTAGTGAAGTACTTAATTATCTGTAAATCTAGGAAATGAATTGTGAACAATCCAAACAACATTTTGCATATTGAGAAAGGTGTTGATTGTGGTAAGAATTTAAATTTTATTAGCTAGGTGATATTTGTTTGCCATTCACTCGTAACAAAAAAGGCGGAAATTTTATCAAGAAGATTAAAAAAACTATACCGTTAGAAAAGTATTGATTGATGAGAAGTAAAAAGGATATGGTTTAGTAATGGTTTAGTAAGTCATGCTAAAGGTTTTTTTTTTCTTTTCTTTTTCGCCGCAGCCCAACAGGATTAATAGTGTTTCCACTTATTTTTTATTGATGTGACTCGAAAGCTCAACCCATGGATCGATGGTGAAGACTGAAGATGCTTAACCACTTAAGCAAGCTTCACTTTTTTTATTAAAAAGTTATATTTTAGATCTTATACTTTCTAAAAATATTTTACTCATATTAAAAGAAAATCATTCCAATAATAAAAAATATAGAGAATTTTAATACTTTATTATTTCATTTTACATAATAAGGTGATGGCTGTTGCCTGATGAAATTTGGCAAGTGGCTGATAATCGACCCCACCTACAATACTACAATAAACTATATAGGAGGACAATATGATCAATAAAAATTCATATAATCAACTATATGTACTAGTTATTTAGCAAGCGCAAAAGGACCACAAGGGTAGCCGCTTCACTGCACAAAAAGGATGCTATCAACAGTGTAAACTCCAAACAAAGAAACCATAACCAAGCATGACTAAAGGTGACTCCTAGTTGTTTGACTTCACAGTCATAACTTTCCTCCAACTTTGGGCCATGCTAGGGCTAATTTTCATCTTTCTCACACACACAAAGTAGAGAGTAGGCCCTTAAATTTCATCACATAAAACGACTTTCCTTTGCCATTAATGGAGAACATAATCATTAGGCTTTGAAGGTGAGTGAAATTGCCATGTGAAAGACCTTATCTTAAGTCAAAAAATATTTCCCCTAACCTAATATTACCTCGCAAAGATTAGATTAGTCTAACTAAATTCGTTCTTCACTTGTCCCTCTGTCCATCTTTACTTGTCCATTATACTAAAAATAGTTGTCCAGTAATACAACTTGTTCAGTTTGGATAATCAAGAGATAGTTAACCCTTTTGTGTCTATTTTATCCTTACTATTCAATATCTAATACATTTTTTCAAAGCATTACATTTAATATATTCAAAAGGTAATTTACCCCTATTGTTTATTCTTTCTTATAGTTGATAACTATTATTGGACATAGGATATTTCATTAATAGAGTTAGGCTATTGAGTTCTTTGTTTAAATCTTTTTGATGATTGGATAGGTAATTAATAAAGAAAGTAATTGAGGCATGCATGTGACTTCTTCAAATATATTCATAATCACCCATTTTGAATTATTTGGGAGTGCGGTAAGAAATTTTGAGAATGATGAGAACAAAAAAAGATTTCAAAGAAGGTCCCATAAATATAATTACAACTCATGTTATATCATAAATAAAGTTGCTTTAAAGTGAAGATATATTGGAGTGGAAAATCCCACCTCCATGAGTTTCCAAAGTTTTATTTTTATTATTACTAACTAATAGACAAGAAAATGATTTGGACCTTCTAAAGTAGGTATAAATTAAAAAGGGATGGAAACTAAATTGACAAGGTTGTTGGGAATTACTCCAAATATAATTGACATGCTTAGCTAATGGAAAAGGGAAAGGAATCACTATGTTCTTATTTTCCTATTTATAATCATTACACATATATCATCTTTGGGAGGTGATTAAATTCTATTTGCCCTTTGGGTTGCTCAAAATTACCTCTTTTTTCCTCTTATATTAAATAGATGAATTAGAGTATGGATGATTAAGTCTAATAGCATGCAACTAAGAATGCTAGAGTAGCATTTTCATAGATGTGGAGAAATATAATTGATCTAAACATAACACCTATATAATTAAGTGAAGCTTTTAGTAGCTATAGATAGTGGAGAACAAAAAGTGTTCCCTGCCAATACACTCACCGCAGGTTTAATTTCCATCTAACTAAACAATTAACTTTAAGAATCAACACATCGAAATGAAAATGTGTATCACTTAACCAAGTGTTAAAAAGTACGTATACAAGACATATGTTATATTTATTGATTTGATATAAACACTCTGTATAAATATGTTTTAACCCAATAAAACTAAAGACTTCTCTGACCTTGTAATAGCACCAGATGTCAACTTGGGTAAAAATGGTTAAAAGTTAAACTTCTAGTTTTACCATGGTCGACTTAAGTGAAAAGTCGGATAAAAAAACACTACTTACCAAGGTGAATTAGCTCTTAGCACAATATCTCACAAGTATTTTATGGAAGATTAAATACACAATCTTCTCATTTGTCCTGGCTTTAGTGGACATAATTATCTGATACCTATTGCTGATGGAAGATGGTAGATATTCTGTGAAATTAATCGAGGTGCACAATAGCTGATCCGAACACAACAATCATCAAATAAAAAAGATTAAATACACAATCAGAATATCTCTATAGGAATCGAGTGGTCAAACAAAAACACTCCTATTATTGACTAGGACTACAAAACTACATCAAGTTCCCTCTTGCTATGTTTCAAAAGACAAATTATGTCTTCATGGAATTCATCTAATATCTACGATTTCAAGTAAGGTTGCATGAATTCCATTAAGAAGTGCAACCTAACGAGCAAAAACTTCAAACTAATAATCATTGATATTTAGAAAATTTAAGTTTGTTCACTTTTTCCTATTCTTTGGATACTGGACTAAGCGCTAAGTCTACTTAATCATCACAACCTTCACTTCCCCACTTTGGCTACTTTATCTACTCAACCTTTCAAAGCATATAATCATAAAACATTGCCATTGTAGGTCACTCATAGAGTTGTTTGAAAAAAAAAGTAGTAGGGACATTAGACATGCATACACCCATGGGAGTCCCTATGATCACTTGAATTCCATCATACTTTAGTTCTATTTGACCATGTTTTACTGTTATATGAGGATCATCAGTCTGTACTGTGAAGTTGCATAAAGTGAGAGCGCGATTTATCTACAAGTGGAACCAAACAAAGTATCTAGAGACAGTCCACACAATGATAAAAGAGAACTGACATAATGAGTAGAATGAAAATCTATACAGGATATATGAACTTAAACGTACATATGCAGCATCCTATGATACAGAACAGAACATTTTTAGGTACTAATAAATAAATAGTAAAGCCTCTGAACAGATTTTGAACAGAGAGCTTATTCTGTTACTGTATAGTAATTACATCTTAGATTCCACCTTAATAATGCTGCATTAAACTCAGCTTGATCTCGAAAAATACTAAGGAAGAGAAACCGAAGCAAAGTTTATAACGTAATGCAACGAAACCATCAGGTAGCAATGCAGCATTCTTACTACCACTTTGTTAGTTTTCCAACTGAACAAATGTTTCTACGTTTCACGTGCAAGAGCAAGGGGAAATGAAGAGTAGATTGCATAAGATACTTATACCTGCACAAAAATTAAAACTAAATTTTGGTAAAATAAAAATGTTAAAAACAATGTATGATATGCATTAACAAGTTGAATGCCATCTCACTGTTGACAAATGCTAATCGTGTTTTGGCTAAATTTACGCTTTTACCAGGACACAGAGGCACCATGTCAAAGCGAACCTCAAGAAAGAGTATCCATAAGTCTGAGCACTGATCGTGGGGGGTAGATTGATCTCGCTAGACTGACTTAATTCTTCAGTCAGTATGATCCCTGAAATGTGTAATTTCGTTAATAAAGATTGTCTCACGACTATAGCTGAAGATCAAAAAGATAACATCAACGGAGACTCCAAGAACTCATATAAGGAGAAGAACAAGAGGAAATCCATTTTGCAAAGCAAGACTGCTATGCATATAGCATCGATCCAGTTCAACAGTCACCTGCATATAGAGTTTTAAAGCCACTACTTACATGATAAAGGCTGCTACAGTGAAGCAGGTTATTCCCACGGAGAAGTGAATGCAAAAAGTTCTCAAGAAGTTATACCAATGTATTAACTACACTGGTAAGCTAGATTCTCAAATGCAATGCATTATGAAGTATGAAACTAGGTCTGGAGAATCAATTAGAGTCTGTTTCACCACTCACATGTTCCCCTACTTGTGAAAACTATGCTGCTCGAACTCTTCAAAAAAGTCAACAGATGCTTGTCGTGTTCTCCAAAAATACAAATGAGAATCTGATAAATGGGTGCAGCATCTAAAGTGAAGAGTCCATGCAACTTAGGTGAAAACCATGCTCCATGTAGCTACTTCCTCAGCATACAGGCAGTACTTTTGACAATAGTTCTTTAAAATGAAAGCTTGTACTAGTGAAATACTGCTAATAGATGAAATATGAGAACCAATGACCTACATATGATTTACGGAATCTTCCAGAAAATAACTCCATAGAGTAATAAGACCAAATTTATTTTTTCGCACATTAGAGGAGGTGACCTTAATTCTGACCAAGAACTGAAGCACTAAGAAGGATCAAGATTTTCTTTTTATTTTTTGTTAAAAAGAAAGGAAGGTACATCAAAACTCAGGCAATAAACAAATCCTAACACTTCAAAGATGTCATGAGGATACTTACTGAATTTGCCAAAATCAACCCAATTACACCAGCTGAAGTTATTAAACTGACATTTATCACTAGGTAAATACTTGAGAATACAAGCAAGAAATCCCTTATCAAAGGAAAAAAGCACACAGGCAAGAAATAGTTTGAGCACCTGAGTTTGGTGCTCATTTAACAGCATGCAGAAATGCTTCAGACTTTCCAGCACCAAATACAAGGGATCTAACTTAGATTGCTAGTTTGCTGTAGCAAGGCTGGCAAAATTACGGAATCTTTTAGTTCGTTTGGATTTCTAATACAAAACTCCACAATGATGTAGAACAAAATCCATAAAAGCTCAGTGGCAGAATCTTCTAGATACATACTTGATTTAGAGAATCCAGCTATTTGAAACTAAATAAAGAATATTATGAGAGCTATTCAAAAGGCATAAAGAGATTTCAGTCGGTAACATCGTTTTTGAAAAATATGATTTGGAGACCCAAATAATTATAAACTAAAAAGCCCCTTACATAATGAGGCAGCTGCAGCAGCATCTGCTGCAAGGACGCCTAGGTAGCTTCTTGATTGACAGCGATCCAAAATCCAAGTTAGATGGGGTAAGGTTATCAAAAGATTGTTTCTTTAAACAAACAGGAACTTGCAGCAATTATAATTGACATCTCCTTTAGAGGACGAAGAATTTGCCTCATCCTGATTGGTCTAAATTCCTTAAGTTTAAGAACACAAGCACAAATGGTGGCTTGTTCCTTCTTACCCTATTCCCAAAAAAAAAGATGTCTTGTTACTAAAAGTGACCAAAATCCATTTCCATTTGATGACTTGCTAGGTAAGCATGGCTTCAGAAGTTAGCCTATTTTATGGAGTCAAACAGGCACACCAAGCTATTAAAGCTTTGTCCATAGGCAAGCCCCTACTGCAAAGTTTCAAGAAAACTTTGCATATTGTGACCAGAAGTCTCTGTGTACAATGCAAGAAAACTGTGCTTGAAAATGGATTTGAAACAACGAGATATGTGCATACTAATAATTGCCAAGTTCACTTTTAAACAATGTTCAAAACTGAATCCTTTTCTGAATTACAACAACATACTGTAATCCCACAAGTGAGGTAGGAGGGTAGAGTGTACGCATACCTTATCCCTACCTCGTAGAAATAGAGAGGTTGTTTTGAATAGACCTTAAATAAGCTTTGCCAAATAGTTTGAAAAGAGGATACAAAGATGGAAGCAATAACAACAACAAAACAATGCGATTAGACCTCAAACTTCATTTTTGATTATCAATCAGAGACTCCATTGCAATCAATCTACTAAAAAGCTCTGCCTTGTAACAGAAAGCCAAACCTGCCTGCACATCTCAACAGAGATGATTATTTTTTTGCAAATGATTGGTTGAGAGACGGAGAAAAGGCACAAACGCGGTTCATTTGACCACTCAGCTATCTACTTGGCCCGAGTAAAACTTATGAGTATCATAAATTTAGTCACCATCTCTGTGAACCCTACTATAAGGTGGTG